GTTTCTTGGCAGCTGGCGGATGCTGCCGGTCCGTTGGTTCTACAAAAAGGGATATAACTTATGATATAACTAATATATAACTAATCTAATATTAAATATAACTTATGATACCAGTTAGATCTAGCAATGATGACTAACTCCACCCCAAGTAAGCCGGGATGTAGCACTTAAATGGACAAGCCCAACACAAAGAGGGCCAACAAAATGAGAGGTCATCGCAGGATGGGTTGAATATCCTGGTGGGCACATGGAGGATGACAGATGGCGGTGCTTGTTCTCAATATGGACATTGACTATCAGCTTGATTTATCCTTTTACCCTGAAATGATACATGTAGGTGTTTGATGGTCGTTGTGTTCCTCGAATTTTGGGACGTCAACATGGCTACCGAGGGGGTCAAACATTTTTTCACTATGTCTATTACTTCGTAATTTCCACAATATTCCAAAAATACCAAGTAGAATTACATGCCGGTAGTGATGTAGTAATTTGACGACAATCACAATACAATTCGAATCTCTCCAGAATATAACTAGTGATGCTATTTGTGATGGAGATAGTACAATCAGATGTTATTAGTCATGCAGATAATGATCAGCTATAATGAGTCAGTATCTTTTCCAACATTATAATTGCTAGTTTCCAGTATAACTAGTGATTGTTAGTGATTATTAGCGATTATTAGTGATTACTAGTCAAGTACAGTAAATCGAGTGGCTGAGTGGCTGCTTCGATTTCGCGAGCCGTGTTGCACATCCACTCATTATATAGGGAATTCCAACCTTGTCATGTTGGCTTGAACAAAAATGCTGGTCGGTTTCTTTCAGACATAGTTGGACAGTTCTTCCCAAAAATGGGGAGACAACTGATACCACAATGGCAGCTGTAAGCCAATAAAAAGCAAGGAATAGTAACAAGAACGGTGAGATATAGCATATCAAAACCATGAAGAAAGGGGTTGGAATCAATGACCAATGAGGAAATGTAAAGCCACTGGGCACCTTTTTTAATCTTCCCAAATACTGCATATTTCCGCCGGGAGACCATTTTGAGCTGCTTAAAGGTGCACCCCAACTTTTGGTTGGATTTAGAAGAGCGTATCCTCATGTATTTAGTTGTTCAACCCCGTATCTTGTGGGTTTTTAACCCTCAATTTCGACGTTTTACCTAGGCTGTCGTGGGCTTTGTCGCTCCATTCACCGCAGCTGTTGGTTCCAGCCGTTTCCGCTGCTGCACTGCACTGCGCTTAGCCTGCCATGGGGTCAAGTTCGAGTCATTCGGTAACGGCACCAAGAGAATCCAAGCCCACCCGTTCCAGTGGCCACTCGGTGACGTCTGTGAGTTGGGAGGAGCAGTAGATACAGCTGAGAAGTTGGGAAATGGGCAGTCAGACAGATGTTTGATATCTTGCCTGTATAGTGGTCTATGTACGATTTTACGCCTTGAAGGTTTTGTGAAATCTCTGTGATCCTAGTTACGAAGCATGGATTTCATTGTGTTGTGACCCCAATCATCTCCTAGGTAGATACTTGAGGAAATTACGTTTCACCGAATCCCATCTCTATTTGGCTTTGTCTGAAAATAGGTACCTCATTTTATGTGATGCTTCATCATCATTAAACATTCATAAAAATTACCTTATTTTGTTAGTATCCACCATTTTTTAGTCACAAAACACTGTCATAATGGGATGACTTTCCCCCGGGATGTTGGGATCCTTCAGCCATCCGCGCCTAGATTTTGACGAGGTGATTTTCGCCGGCGCCGATACTTTGTCGAGGCACGCTGACGTGCGATATGTCAGCTGTGAGTTTGGGCGTATCAGCAAGGATACGAGTTGGTCCTGAAATTGGGTATACCCAAAATATCTCAAAATTAGCACTTTAAAATGGGGAAGATGATGAGAATCCATAGGGTTTTAGTACTTTATTTTCAGACAAACCCAGAATATGTACCAAAACAGCCGTTTTTTTGTTGCAAGCGACAAACATAGGGATCACTGGAGCACACAACCAACTGTTTACACACACACACGCATATATATATATATATAATACATAATGTAGCTAAAACACACATATGTATAGAACAATGGTATAGTATGTAAGTACATATTCCACACACACACACATGTATGATACATATGTATTTTAAGTATAGTTGTACGTATGTCTATATATACATCTCCACATTTTACACGCACAACATACATATGTATAGTATCATATATGCACATCTGGGTCTCAGCAGTGTCACTGCACAGGGCCTCTCTGCAGTTCAAGATCCTCCAGATGATGGAAGCCGACCAACCCTTCTGAAGCGTCGCTGGTCGGGACACTGGTGGGTAGCGTGAAACCACCCTTAGTTCAGCAGCACAAGTTCTTTTTTGCAGCAGTGTCAGGGGCTTTCTGATGTTTTCCATTTTGCACCCATCAAATTCCGAATTTCATAGTGAATCAACAGGATACATTCTCCCAAACCCTTGAACAGATTCATTTTTGACATTGTGAGTTGACTTGAGTTGCATTGCCATAGGTTTGTAGTGGGTGTCTGAGACCTAAATGCAGGGCCCTTTCAGAAACTTTCGCATTCCCCAATTCAGAAAACCAGAAGATCGTCCATGTCGATGCCATCAATTTCACCACTGGCAATGCCATGGAGAATCCACCCATCGGATCATGAGAATCTGCCAAGGTCCTCGAGCTCCCTTGGACTGGGAGTCTCACCAGGATGGGATCCTACAGACCTGGGGAGATATCCCCACAAAAAGGGGAACATTTTGAATCCATGAACATTTATCATCCAATTTGGGGGTGCGCATGATTTTTCTTCGCTCACGATGCGGGACATTCCCTATCATTCGCTCACGTTGCCAGGATGTTCGTGGATACATGACTGCCATGAAAGGCGAGGCCTTCTAGCCGAAAAAATTGCAACTCAGTTGCAGGCACCATGAGTGGTACAGGATGGTGCCCCCAGTTGTAAGTTGCTTTATAATCCCCTTTAGCTATAGCCATATGCCCCCAATCAACCCTTATTGGAGTTATAAACCAACTTAGCTGACTATGGGTCTAAGTCAAATTAATTGACCTCTAAACATCATTACGCAGCCTCAGTGGTGGGCTTGAGCTGAGAGTTTGCCGGATCAGTTCCAGATGAAGCATGCGACATTATGGTTTCAAATGATACTGTACCTATTTAGATACATGCAGGTGTATTTATGTATATGTACATAGTATGTATGTAATATAGTGTAGTGGAATGTAACGTAACGTAACGTAACGTAGTGTATGTATGTAGGAATGAAGGAATGAAGGAATGAAGGAATGAAAGGTAATATATGTAATGTATTTAATGTACGTAATCTCTGTAATGTATGTAATGTCTGTATACAATGTCTGTCTTGCAGCATCTTCGGCTAACGTCCCGGTTAGGTAAGTTTTTATTCATTTTCATTCTCATCTCATTTTCATCTCCATCTCACCAACCCTGCTGCGGCAGGGTGTGTGTGTGTGTGTGAACCATCTGTATAGATATAAGACTTCCTTTCTTTGCAGGGGGCCACCGGTTTCCTAGGGGGTCAGTGGCCAACGAAGACACCCTCTGGGTACCTGTGTAAACGTACCTGCTTCTTTATATATTTCATGTTGTCCCGCCCCTGGGCGCATTTAAGTCGCAGCTGGGGGGACGTCTAGTATATCGCTGTTGGTTTATATTGTCAATGTCTTCTGTGGTTATATATATATATTGGTTCATCTCATCGTGTCAATTTGTTTTGTTTCTTGTTTTTGCACGACTGTTGCATTCCACATCACAAGTCGATAAGACGTCTGAGCAAGTCTGTGTAGTGTATGTAATGTATGTACTGTATGTAATGTATGTAATGTAATCTACTGTAATGTAAGGTAAGGTAATGTAAGGTTATGTTATGTATGTATGTATGTATGTATGTATGTATGTATAAAAAAACATACATGTAGATGTACATATGTGCATATACATATATGCGTACAAATTTACAATATATATATATATATATATCGTGGTGTGACCTCTTGGAACTATCAATACTTCCACCGGGTTCTGTTTTCATAGTTTGCATGTGTTTAAAATGTGGGCGTCATCAGCCGCTCGTCATGTCATCCGCTGTTGTCATTATCCCTTCTCATATCAATTGCAAGTCTCGTACTGTTTTGCTATTGATCAACGTTATCCCCCGCTCCACACCCCGGGACATGACAGGAATGTGAACATGAGTTTGCTCTCTGTACCATAGGAGTGCTATCCATAGTTCCAAAGGCTTAGGTTTTTTTTTTTAATACGCATTTATTTATACATACATGTACAGGTATGTATGCACGTATGTTTTCCATCCCTGGAAATGAGATGATGATTCCAACTTACATATTTCTCTATGGTTCGACCGAGGATGGGAACGCCAATGTCGCGCTGCCACACTGTTTGAAAGCGGCTGTTCCTAGCCATGCCAGGTGCCCAGTGGGACATCTATTTTCACCAACGTTTTTAACATCAATGCGGAATGGTCATACAACTGACAATCACTGGACCCACGGGTGAATCTTTCCATTATCATGTCAACAGACGCGTACAGCAGCAAATTCCCACATATCAGCTGGTTTCCCTCATGAATTGTCATCACACAACTGTTGGAAGTCGCGAGCGCGGCACAGAGCGCAGACTTGCCACCGCAGGCATCCACATCTGGTGCGCCGAGTGATAGGAAAAATGGGGTCCTGTTCCAGGACGGGAGGATCTGCTATTGAAAGCAATGATTTAAGTTCACACTTGGGAGGATGGGTTTGTAATGGTTTATGTATAACCATGTATAACCAGTGCTATTGAAAGCAATTTAACTTCAAAAACACTTGGAGGATGGGTTTGTAATGGTTTATGAAAGTTTATGTATAACCAGTATACTGAAACCATTTACTGATTGGTGCTTCATTCATATTTTGCACCTTTCCATCCCGGAAATTGGT